CTGCTTTCAACTGTAACATCTTTTTTCTGATTTTTCAGTTGAACCAAGTTAAAGCAATGGCTAAGAAAATGAGTTCTAAAAGTAGTTGAGATTGCATTCAACTATACAAAAAATCAGCCTTTATGTTTTGGGAGATCTAGATTTTCCATGCAGATTTGAGAAATGTTCGCGATGAACGTGCAATAACGACATGAAGTTACAAAACTCTGCCCTCATCGACAATCACAGATTTTTCCTTCCTTTGTTCTGAGTAACCAGCCAGGTATGAAGATTATACAAGCAAAGCATTGCGCTGTGTGAGCGGATTTCCGGCAATGCAAGAAAATAACTAAACCAGAATTCGAAGCTTATGTATATTTGACACGAATTCAAAGTGGTGGAGTCTGCTCGAATTGTTCTGCTCCAGTGTTGAGACGTAAAACGAATATCAGGTGGCTTATTGCTATTCGCTCAAGTTTGAAGCCGCTCTTCGTACTATTTTTTTTTTTCCTTTCTAATTCCAATATATCCACGTGTCTAATAACTGTCAAATCGATAATCGATATAGCATGATTCGCTTTTTCTTTTTACCGTGGGGGATGCGAGGACACCATCGGAAAGGAAGTTTGGAAGCACTGGGGTTTGCCCAGCATCCAATGACGGGATCAATTGATGGCTTGGCGCCTTTTAGTTTGATAATTATCAGTCCTTAAGAACGGCGCGAACTAAAGGAGAGGCATTTGGTTTCTCTTCTTACCCATCTTTAATACTATATTTTTCCATATTTTATTTAATTATTCATTTAGTTTCGGTGTTCACTGTAACATTAAAATAAAATAATATTCATTAATAATTATCATTAATAAGTATTATAATCTTATTTTCAAAAACATTTAAATAATTATAGTGAATAACATATTTATTTTAATATTATAATTAGTAATATCAAACCATTAAACTAAATCAAGAACTAAATGAATATATGAGATTAGGTATGCGGAGCTATATTGAGAGAAATTATGGAAATAATCTAAATCCGTCCAGATTTCAAATAAAATGATGTTTTTTTTTTCAATTGTACTATAGTTATTTATCCATGTTGTAACTAGTTTGCTTGAAATACATGTCTGTATATATGACGTAATGTAATGCATTTTGTTCTTTGATTAAATTGTGAGCGTGGATCATGTCTTCTGTTGAGGTAATCAGTGACAATAAATATGTAATATAACTTTGGACAATTCAAGCCCTGTATGGCCCAAAAAGAAAGTGCTGCTAGCTGCGATAGGGATTCCAATTAAAAGTTCCCACAAAAATTGCACACTTGAGAGAATAAGAATTTATTTTGGCGCCAAAAAAAAAACCGAAATTAGCAAAGAAAATAAGAGATTACTTGTTCTAAAAAATTAAGAATTTACTTGTAGACTGTGTTTGTTGCGAGCTTTGTTTGAAATGGAAAGAAAACAAGGAGAAAGAGAACTGTGAGAAGGGGGGGATTTAAAGAAACACAAATTTTGACCCTTATTTGTTCTTAATTTCCCTTTAAAGAAGGGGAAAACTAGTGAAAAAGCTAGATGTTAGGGAAGAAAATTGTCTTTCTTTTCTACCTTTCCTCTAGTTTTATTTCCTTTCTATTTTCCTCCCATCCTCTGAAATATTAAACATGATATATTGAGGATGAATTTACTATACAAGCACGCGTTCTTTTTTCCTTCTTTGTGGATCCTCCTCTTGACTGTATCCTATTCCTATGTGAGAGAGATGGAGGACGATAATGGAGCTAATGTTAACAGACATGCATATGTCATTGAAACAATACAAAGAAAAAGTGTTTATGTTTATAAAGTGCTCGTTCATTTGTAATTATTTTTTTACGAAACATAATGTTCATAATCGTGCAATGGAAACAGATACTCTCTCCATTGCAAAATATTATTTAAAGTTATTGCACATAGAGTAAGAAATATAATTAATATGTAAGAATATGATATATTTTACCGCATTTGTATTCCATTTTTATGGAGTATATCTCATTTATGTGCTGACTACTGACAATATTTTAATACCTTGAAGGATGACACGTAAAAGTTGGCAAAAATAAAGGAACAATCACATTGTGAGCCCTCGAAATGAACATATTTGCAAAAAAGAAGCCCAAATAATTGTGATATGTCAGCGGCAGGCTCAAGGGCTTCATGTGTAATCATACTCCTCGCTGAAATGACCTAGTTACCCTCACATTTACATTGCTATTTGACTTTGCACTTTTCCGCTCTCTTCTTCTTCATTACTCATCCTTCTGTCTCTTCACCTTCTAACTGTGGTTTTTAATTGGGACTAGTCATTCTATCCAAATCTCTTCATCAATCTCTTCTCGGACTTTTATTCAAAAAAAAAAAAACATCAATTATATTAACCTAGAATGAAAGGGTTGAAATGGTGACGCCGAGGACTCTGAGAACACTAGTAGTGATCACTTTCTTCAAAGAATGAGTGAATATGCCAACCATGAGTATAGTCGCCACAAGCCAAAGTAGTGAGGTTCTAAGGGTGGCGTTGTCTGACATGTTTAACAGGCAGAGCAAAAGATGGATTGGAAAGGAGCATCTGATCTATAGCCTTTCATTATAGGTTAATATAATTGACGTTTTAACAACAAACAAAAAATGAAAGCCCAATAAGAGATTCACGGAGAGGTTTGGCTAAAATGATAGGACCCTTATTAAAAAATTTAAAAAAATTCACAGTATGAAGAAGAGAAAGAAGGATTAACGAGGAAGAAGAGAGTGAAAAAAATGTGAAGTTAAATAGTCATCTAAATGTGAAAGGTAATTAAGTTATTTTAATAAAAAATATAATTGCAAATAAGCCCCTTTGACTAACAGAGACACATCAAAATTATTTGAGCCTTGTATGCAAATATTGTTATTTTGAAGCCTTGAATGTGATTGTCCCAAAAATAAATGAAATAGAAAATTATCATTAAATAGTGTGTTGAAAATTAGATAATAAACAATACAAAATTTAGCAATTTTAAAACCAACCACCTTAGATTTTTTTGCTTTTAAAACATTAGATCCCACCAGCCCAAAACACAAGTCGAAAGCAAACAGATTGAGTTTATCACCTTGACTTTTCTTAAAAAAAAAAGAAAAAAGGAAAATCATCATAAAATTTGATAGAAATATTTAAAAGCCTGGTGAAATCATTAAATATCTATCAAGTTCCAAAGGATTTGAGGATAAATATTTTTTTAATTGATTAAAATACCTTTTTTAAAAAATAAAGGTCCTCATACAAACTCTCCAAACAACCTTCTTCTTACTGTTCACGTACTTCCTCCCCTATATTCACTTTCCGTCTCTATTATATTTTTATAAAGCGGGCTTGAATTTTTGTTGAATATAATTAATTATAAAAAATTAATTGATATAATTAATTTTAATTATAATTAATTATATTATAATGTAATCGATATTATTTTTTAAAAATAAATTTTAACTGAATTAAATATGTTTGGATAGTTTAGTTAAAATAAATTTTAGAGGGATGAATTACAATAAAGGACATTGTTTTTAACTATATTATATTGTAATATTAACAATTTAATCTATATAAAAATAAATCATCTCAGATTTTAAATAATTTTAATAAAAGAAAAATATGTAATTATAATTATTCAGTTTTAGAATGATTAATTATCTCGAAAATGTTTGGTAAACAAACTCTGGGTGTGTGTGTGAATAAACTATATATAGATAAAGAGAACTGATGGATTAACTTTTGGAAGAGTTTTTTTTTCATTCTAAATTATGACTTTTTTGTTCTCTATTTTCACTTAAATCTAAAAAAAACTAAGAGAAGTCATGAAGAGAAGAGAAGTGATTGACAAGAACAAATGTGTTGCACTCGAGCGTCTTATTGGCAGATTAAAAAATTCTGACAGATTAAAAAATGTACTGCACTTTAATACATATAATCGATATTTGAAAACGATTCATCGCAGCTCAAGCCAAAATGTGGCTTGAATTGAGATAATTAATTATACAAAAATGGGGTGTTTGGGTGTTTCTTACAATCAAGCTTATCGAAAGAGGCTCATTTTCATCCATCATCGGAAAACAAAGCAAGTGCACTTATTGTAAAAATGGTATCCTTTATTGTATTTTTACATAATTTTAATTTTATAAAGGTGATCATTTTTTTTTTGAAAAATTATCGTAAAAGCCTAGATGATCACATTTATAAAATTAAAATAAATTAAAATATAATTTTAACCTTTTAAATTTATAAAAATTTTATTTTAATTTTAAAATTTTATAAAATATTTTTCATTCATTTAATCTAAAGTCATATTAATTTTATTGTAAAAATTTCAACATTAAATTTTTAAATATTAATAAAATATTCTTAAATATTAACATATTAAATCTAATTTTTTAAAATAATAATAATATTTGATATAAATAATAATAATTTATAATTAATGGTATTATGATTAAAAGAATTAAAAGATTAAAAATATATTTTAACCTTTAAATTATATACATGTGCGTGTGTCAGATAAAATAAGTATTATTAAAATCATAAAGTTATATTTGTGTATTATTTTTACGTTGCACATATATCTCAGGGAAAAATTACATTTATGTCATTTCAATAAAAGTTAAATAAATTGTATCAAAAAATAAAACTTAAACAATTTTAATTCAAAAATTAATTTAATCGACTATCATGTTAATTAAGTACATCCACATTAATAATATTATCGATAGTATGGTTTTTTTTTTTTTGACCAACTGATATAGATGGTATTTAAGTTTCAGGTAAAATTAATTTTTATGATTGCAGATTGCAAATCTAATTAAAATAATGAAGTTTTTAATAAAAAAAAAAAAAAGGAAGTTAGGAGCGACGTTACGCAATCGTTTACATCACTTTAATTTTATCGATTATTTTAGTCCCAAACAAACGCTGGGCCCCGAATAAGAAAATTGATTTATTGGTCGATCACTTACGAGTTTATAGTTCAGCGCAACACAATTGCTCAACTCCCGGCGAACATCTACACTTCCAGCGTTCAAAGCGGGTATCATTTGGCTTCACCCGAGGCGGGGAAATGGCCTCAAGTCTCTTCCCTCTGCTCACTTTGTATTTGGCCTTCTCCGTCTCTTATTTACGGGTATTTCTATTTTCACTCCCTTATTTCGAATTTTTACGATATCATTATTTGGTATTTTGAATGAATTTCCAATTTTCCATGGATCTGATTTCTCCTCTTATTGTGTTTGTGTAATTGACGTAAATAAAATACCCGTGCCTGGGCCTTTCTTTAATTTTCATTTTTTTTTTTAATTCAGATTCTTTGGTTCATGCTACAACTTTAACTGATAGGCATCTAAAAGGCTGTTCTTCCATCTAATGTGAAACGCTGATATGTTTAATTGTCATATTTTTGGAAGACTTAACGAGACAGAGCCATACTCTGGGATGTTAAATTTGACCATGGTAGTGCTATCTGCTTTGCCGTGGTCGTCGATTTTCGTACTCTCTTTTGTTATTGTTATGAGTGCCTTTAACTAATTTTAGGTGTAAATTATTATCCGGTAGATTAGAAACTATGAAAATCACTTAATGAACTAAATAAATCATATGTCGTGAGCAGATCATTGAGGCAGAAGCAGAAACATTTTCTAGTTTCAAGCTCAATTCTCATATTCTTCAGGTAATTCCATTCCATGCAAGCAAATCTCCTTTGTTGCTCAACGCCTGAGGTAAATTGTTCCTAACCACCGAATAGCAATCAGAAAAATTCCTTACTGGATTAGATTCCTGATACGATAATGGTGTTTTCGTCTGAGATAGTATTGGCTTTGTTTTTTAGGGTGAGTATTTGATATTTGGTTCAAGTTGTGTGTTAAACTTTAGACATTGCCATGCAGGAGTCAATCACTAAGCAGATTAATGAAAATCCAAGGGCAGGATGGGAGGCTGCCATGAATCCTCGCTTCTCCAATTATACTGTTAGCATTCGACTTGCCCTGACCTGTTTTAATTTTTCTTCAACGTTTAATATACCTTTTTTTTTATTCTATAATATGCTTCAAGTTTCCAAGATCTTATCTTCATTTCAAAGGTTGGACAATTTAAGCACCTTCTTGGAGTCAAACCATCACCTAAAAATGATCTGAGTAGTACTCCTGTTGTTACCCATTCAAAATCCTTAAAATTGCCGAATGAGTTTGACGCAAGAACAGCTTGGTCTCAGTGTAGCACTGTTGTGAGAATTCTAGGTTGTCTACTTGTTCCTTTTCCTTTTTTTATTTTTATTTTATTTATAGGTAACTGATTAATTTGGAACAAAGTACTCACCCATCTCTTTCCTCGATAAATGCATGGAATGGTGAATAATTTCCGTACTAAAGATCAGGTAATTCTGTTCATCTTTTACAGTATCGACTTTTTATAAACTGAAAGTTAACAAAATTCTTAGCTGGCTTTTTGCTGATTGTTCAGGGTCACTGTGGTTCTTGTTGGGCATTTGGTGCCGTTGAATCATTGTCAGATCGTTTTTGCATTCACTTTGGCATGGTGACTGACATTTGTTTTACTTTATCTTGGCTACTGTTTGTTGGGTGTTTATCTTCTCATATTTGTAGTCTACTCTCCCTCCCACCAGAGTTTAAAGTCTATATGCTTTAATTGCAGAACATATCTCTCTCTATTAATGATCTTCTTGCTTGCTGTGGATTTTTGTGTGGGTCTGGCTGTAATGGGGGGTATCCTCTCTTTGCATGGCGATACTTAGTCCATCATGGTGTTGTCACTGAAGAGGTAAGGAGTTTCCTATTTACCCTCATAATTTCCTCTTGGTAAAAAATTCATATAAAGTGGTTAGAAATGAAAATTCGAGTCCTCAGTATTCTCTGCTAAAATCTTATTGGAGAATTTTCTGTTTAATCTAGCCCTCATATTCTTGCCTTTGCACTCTCTTATTGCGAACGATGTTTTAATGTATCAGTGTGACCCATACTTTGACGATATTGGTTGTTCTCATCCTGGTTGCGAGCCTGCATATCCTACTCCCAAGTGTGTCAGGAAGTGTGTGAATCGGAACCAGCTTTGGAGAAAGTCGAAGCATTATAGTGTCAATGCATACAGGATCAATTCAGATCCCTATGATATTATGGCAGAAGTCTATAAGAATGGGCCGGTTGAGGTTTCGTTCACTGTTTATGAGGTAATTGACAGCTGTTAGTTACTCCTATGTTGTTATGAATTGTGATTGAATTTCTCCAACTTCAATGTAATAATGTAAAAAATTATTTCCTACTTACTTTTTGCATACATAAAAGCACTTGGTTGTTGGTAGTGAGCTTTTACCTTTTTAGTTGTTTTTATATTGTTTATCATCATATCTACAAATTATCAATTTAGGCAAGTTGGTCGTCGCAAGATACTGAAATGAGTGCTTGCAAATTTTAGGATATATATGAATTTATAGAAACGGTAACTATTTAGCTATGTAAATTAAAGCAAAGCTTACAGTGTAAGAAAGAATTGTGCTCTGCTTCAGATGCCCCTTATGACCCGAAGCAAAATGCAGACTTCAATTTCAGGACATCAAACAAATAGATTATATTTTAATCTTGTCCTGTGGTTGGAGTAGTCACAAGCAGATCTGTTAGCGTTGGGATAATCATCACTCGTTTGAACTTTTATAGGATTTTGCTCACTACAAATCAGGAGTTTACAAACACATCACTGGGGACGCACTAGGAGGTCATGCTGTAAAGCTAATTGGGTGGGGAACAACCGATGATGGAGAGGACTACTGGGTACGCAAATCCGTTAATGATTATAGACCTTGAAGCCTCGTATAGTGATAGAATTTCATGTTTGTTGATCTTCTTTTTCTTAACCTTTCAGCTCCTCGCAAATCAGTGGAATAGAAGTTGGGGAGATGTATGCTTCTTCAATCATTCTTTCCTGAATTGAACTAACTGTATCTATGTGTATGCCTTTTCTAATCACCCATTTTGATCCACGTGCAGGACGGCTACTTTAAGATGAGAAGAGGGACAAATGAATGTGGCATTGAAAAAGATGTTGTTGCTGGCATGCCTTCCACGAAAAACCTCGTCAGGGAGGTTGCTGACGGCGATGCTTCGTTCTCAATGTAAATATACAACCAAACTGGATTCCGTCGTGTATTAAACGCCCTGCCCTGAATGTTGTGCCATTATTGTAAGAATTTGAACGATATTTACCAAAATTTAAATTATGATATTGAAAGGCCCTTGAGGGTGCTGACTGCTACTGGCTGCTGTCACGATTACTAGGAATCAGGAAAATCGTTAGTGACTGGCATTCTAGCTCAAGAAAAAATTCAAGAAAATCGCAGCAATTAGTGTATAGAAGAGTAAATGATGACCTGCTAAATCCGCCGCCGAGTGATGATTAGTTTTATCACTGGCAAGAGATTTTGGGTTTGTTTGAAAAACCTTTGAGAACAATTTTTTATTTTTCAAAACAAGAGAACAAAAAGATTCTATTGATAGAGTAACTTTTAAATGAAAATACTTTTAAGTGTTTTGAGAGAGCAAGAGAAAATAAAAAAAAATTATTTTTATTAATTTTTTATTTTCAAAATATGTTTTACACAACATCATTTTTTAATAAGGCCGGGCCTGGAGCACCGAGCTTAGAGGTCCTGTTTAAATGAGGATTTAAATTTTGAAAATAATTTTTTTAAAAGTAATCAGATTTGAGTACTTAACCCTGATAAACCTCATAAAAAAAGGTTTGGTGGCCTTTCAAATCTTGTTATATTATTTTTTTTATGAAATACATATTTAAAAACTAATGACCTGCTCACTTGAAGACTGACCCTACATACATTATATTATTATTAATTTAGTGTATAGTATAAAATTTTGATATTTTTATAATTACTATGTTTGTATTATTATAAATATTTTTTAATCAAGATTTTTTAATTTTATTTCTAAACTTCTAAATGTGTGTGGTTTAATTTTTAAAAAGTTTTAAGAATTTTGATTTTTTTTTAATTTTAAAATATTTTAATTAATTTGTAAGGCTTACCTTTATTTTAATTTTTTGAAATTTTTTAAAACAAAGGCTTATATGCCCAGTCTTGAGCCGTTTAAATGGTCAACCTTAAAAAATAAGTGAAAAATAAAAAAATGAACTTAAAAATTTAGGCCCTTATAGGTGCCTAAAGGGTCAAGCCTACTTGTTTCCCAGGTTTAGACATCTAAATAATAAAATAAAAATAATTTTAAATAGACTTTTAAATTTTTTAAAATTGAGATTGGTAACTTTATGTGAATACTTTTAAAAAAATTTTTGTTCATTTTATTATTTTAAGAAATATAAAATATTTTATTTTTTAAAATAGGAAACTTCAAATTATTTAAATCCAAAAAAGATCGCCTTAATTGCAATAAAGTGATTATATAATTTTTAATTCCTAAATTTTTGTTTAATTATTGAATTATTAACAATCAATTTAGTTCATAAATTTTAACTTATTATAATTCAATTCTTATAATTTATTGAGTTAAAAATATTAAATTAAAAAATTATTTGTTATGAGTCAATTCAAAGGAACCGATAATTGAGAAAAAAATCAGGGACTATAAGTTATATTTGTCCTATAATAAATGTCGGGAACTTACTGTTTAATATTCATGTTATGAGATACTTTTAATCACTTTATCATAATTAATTAAATATAAAAAACCATTAATTTTTTCTGAAAATAAAATATTTTTACTTTACTCATATTTAAATGAAATTTTTAAAATTGTGTTACATTCTCTCTCATAGTTAATAACTTTAAATATGGATAATGCTAAAAAAATATAAGTAACACTCCAACAAATAATTTATAACATAAATTATTCATCTCTTATTTAAAATGTCTTGTAACAAAAATAAAATAAAAAGTGTACATACCTTTCCTTAAAAAATATCAGGTATTTTTAACTGAATCTCATTTCAATAAAATAATTACTTTTCTTTAAACCAATACTATATTTTCATATTTAATTTTATTTAATAAAGTGCTACACTTTAACATAAATATAAAATAATTTATTCATTAAAAAGATTTTTTTTAAAAAAAGATTATGATTACATTTGAAAATATTAAAATTGCCTTCTATTTTTAAACATTGAGATCCCTTGATCAAAAGTGAATAAAGGTCGAATCCCCTGCTGTCCAACCTCATTTTCATCGTGGTCAGAATAATTCCAAGGATGCGATCTGTTAATTAATATTTAATTCTTAATACTAGTGATTTCAAGTTACACCTAGATTGCAATTGGTCATTAATAATATGTTTGGTTTGAGGGAAGGAGGTTTTAATATTACCTTATTTAATTTTATTAGAGGGAAGGGGAAAGGTTTTTAATAATCTTTTATTTAGTTTAGGAGGGGAGGGAAAATGAGGTAATAACTAATTTACTATTATATTTTTATACATTAGTTTAAAACTTTTTAAATTTTTTCTTGTAAAAAATAATTTTACACCTCAATTTAAATTGCATGATTTTTTAAAAATTCACTCTCATCCTATCATATTGTCAATATGTGAAAAAAAAAAATTAAACCAATAAGTTGTAATGATAATAATTTTTTATAAAAGAGAAATAACTAAATATATAATGAAATATGATGAAATGTAATTGTTAAAAAAAATCAATGAAGTCAGTTGAGGTCTGGAAGTGAAGCACAATCTAATATAAAAGAAAATTTTTTTAGTTATGGATATACTTAGAACATTGAAAATTAAATAAAGATAAAATAGTCAAAAAAAATTAGCTCACCTCTAAAAAACACTCAATTTAGGAGGGAATGGATTATTTTAGTTTCCTTTTTTTCAAAATTTCTTAACCAAATGAGTATTCCCCTCGCCTCCCCTTGAAAAACTTTCAAGTTTCAACCAAACATACCCTGAAAAAATGAGGAAAACTCTAAGAAGATATTCTTTTTAATTCTCAACAATCAACCATGCACATCGCAATTTATTTTTCAAAAAATATCCTATTTTTTATATTTTTATCTTAATTAAATCTTTCTCAAAATAATAAGCTCCATTGCAAACATTATTTTATTTTTAAGATTTTATTTCTATCTACTTAATTATTTCATCTAATTTTATTTATAATTTATTTCTAATGTGTTTTCTTGAAAGCGAGAAAAATTTAAAATTTTATTAACTCTGTTAAAATTTAATAAGTTCTTAACTTTATTCATACTCCCTTTATTAAAAAATGTAAAGTATTTTTAATTAAATTTCACCCTTGATAAATACTTACTTATTTTTAAATGTATTTTACTTTTCATATTTATCTCTATAAATATTTTAAAATAAATATAAAGTAATTTATTTAATAGAAATATTTTTTTAAAAAAAGCAATGATTACATTTTAAAATACTAAAAATACATTATATTTTTTAACTAAGGAAGCATTACCTATGCATATTTTAATAATATAATTTTCTTTCATTGACATATAGAGGGAAAAAAAAAGTTTGTGATAAAAATTTAATAATGTGATTTATAGAAGGGACAGAATAATTTATCTCTTCAACTTATAAATAGGATCATAGGAATGCAAATTAATGATTTGTTATTTCACTAACTTTAAAATTTTTTACGAAAATATTGCTCCTTGATGTAATTGTCATTTAGCAATCATTTTTTTATATACGTCATTTGCCAAGCTTTCTAAACAGGTACTCCTATATAATTTACACTTCTTTAAACACTTATACATTCTTAAAATTTTTCATCGTATTATAAAAATGCTCAGTGATTTTTATAAATTTATTTTTTTATAAAAAAGGTTATTTGATTTTTATTTAATAATTTTAAATATATATGATTGCTCAAAAAATTAAGCACATTTTAAACTCTTTTGATATATTAAATACTACCATTATGATCATATTATAAATTAATTAATTTCATGCTACAATTTTGCACACAGTCATTTAGTGTGTGTTTAATTTTTAATTTTTTAAAATTTTATTTAGCAAAAGTTTGTTATTGTAACGAAATTTATGTTTAAATATATTTTTTTTAAAAGTCAATTTTGTATAATAAAAATTATTTGGATTATAATGATAAAATATACTTTTAAATGTATAATTATCAAAAAAGACATTAATTTATGATGATTTATAATTTTTATTATACAAATGTAACATATTTAAAATATTTAAAAAATGTGATAAAAATTTTAAATAATATAAAATTTGATCTATAATGCTAAAAACTTGATCTCCAGTTATTTGTAATTTTTAAATTTATAATTTTAGAAAATGTGATAAAGACTTATAATTTTTATTATACATTAATACTAAAAATTAACATGATTAATTATTTAATTTATAATGCTAAAAAATTGATACCTAATTTATATTATTAAAATGATAATTATATTTTTAATAAATTAATTATTTTTTAAATAAAAGAATAAGAGATTAAACTTGGGTAATACAATCAAAGAACATCTTACTTTTTAAATTTACTTTTCAAAAGCTTCAAATAATTATGTTTCTTAAATTTACTTTTTTAAATGTGCTTTCCTATAAAATATTTTACTTAAACAATTTCTAGCATTCTAAAAGTAAAATTTTGCCTTTTAAGTGTGAAATGCAAGCAAACCAAACGAGCCCTTAATATCTCTTAAAAAAAGGACCAATAAACTATCTACCAATTTCTTTTGGATGGACAAAGATGAATGATTTAGTAATGAATAAATAGATAAATTATCTCAAACTTTATGTCAAGCAATACCATAGTTCATAGATCATTGTTATTAGAATTAGATCGGTTGGTCTAACCAGTTGAATCGAGAATCGATCATAGGTTCGATTTGGTTACACAAAAAAAACGTTCGTTCTACAAATCAATCATGAACTGCTTGAATTGGACACATTACTTTTTTTTTATTTTTAACTCATGTCTTTAAAATATAGTTTATGCATATTCATACCTAGTAGGCATTATAAAATAAAAAAATGCAAGAAATATATATGAATTATGTATATATGTATAGATTTTAAAGTTATAAATTATAAATTAGGAAATAATAACATATATTTTGAATGAAAATGATGTAATATTGATGGATATTATCTTTTTTATTGTAGATTATTTTTTTAAAATTTAAATATTTATTTTTCTTACTATATGTGATTATTTCTTTCTATTTTGAACATATAATATTTAAAATGTATTAATTTATTTATGACTGATTGAACCGTGGTTTAACCATTGAATCGATACCTTGATTAGTTTAATGATCATTCAATTTTCATAACATTGTCATAGATTTTGAACTCATTTATTGTGTAAATTGATTACTGAACTTTTGAAAATTGAATAATTTGACTCCTATCATTAATAAAAGTTAACTTTGATTGATAATTAATTAAAAAATAAATTCAAAAATTACATAAAATGATCCAGAATTTTTTAAGCATTTTTTGTATTTATTTATCTTTGCCTGTAATTTTTGGTCATTTTATGAAATTTTTTGATGTCATATTCCATTATTTTTTTATCAATTAATAGTCTAAGTTAAGTTTTGTTAACAATAAAAGTTATATTACACCGTTGTCAAAAAATTGAGGGAACAATTTATATAATAATAAACAAATTTAAGATTTATGATATTATTAAATTTAAAATTTAAGAAATAATTTGCTCTTTTATCCTATAATTTTCACACAAAAAATGCAATACAAGAAACAAAATGGAGGGAAAACTATTACCCTTCATAATCCATCACTTTACTATGCTTAGATGGTGGATGATGTACTCCTTTCATTTTTTTTATAAAATATTTTTAATTAAATCTCAAATATTAATAAAGGTTTGTTATTTTCATAATCAATATATATTAACAAACTATATATTAACAAATATTGTGGAAGTGTCCTGATTGGCCGAAAACTCTCATACCTCATTGGTCAATCAATTTTGATATAATTTTTAATGTCCGTTCAATCGGTCATCAATTTTTTATAAGGAAAATTTTAGTCAAAGATCCTTCACTAAATTTAATAAAAAAATTAAATTTTTTAAAATTTTACTAAAAGATTTGTATAAAATTTTTGTTGAATTTATGAAAGAAATGATAAAATTACTTTCATTTAAATCAATAACATAAATGATTTATTTATTTTTATATTATATATTTTTTATTTACTTATGAAATGTTGTTTGTTTTCCTACTTCACTTGTTTATAGGTATATTTTTACTAGATTTTATTTTAAGGGCCATAAACAAGTGAAATAAAGAAATAAATAATATTTAGTAAGTAAATAAATAAGATATAGTATGAAAACGAATAAGTTGTCTTATCATGATACCATCATGTAGTGAAATCAAGTGAAATTAGACTTATAACAAGTGGAGTAAAGAAACGAACAACATTCATAAATAATATAAATATAAGAACGAATAAGTCGTTTATATTATTTATTTAAATAAAGATAATTTTATTATTTTATCCTAAATTTAAAAAAAATTCTATACACGTCCTTAAGTAAAGTTTCAAAATTTTAACATCTTCTTTTTTTTTTTTTTTTTTTTTAAGTTCAATCAAGAGTTCCTGACTGAAATTTTTCTTTTTTATACATCCACCGTAAATTTAGTTTCTGCACGGAAGCATTAGCTCCAGCTGTTTGCCCATCTCAATTTATACCTGCTTCCCTTTCCCTGTCTATTCTTTCCTCATTCCAGTCTACGGTTATTTTCAGGGCTCCAAGGTTATCGGCTTCCCCGTTCGCTGCTCTTTCCCCATGTATCTTTGCGTTTCTCAATACTCTCTATCTTCAAGAAATATCGGGCCTCTCCCCATGGTTCAGATTCGGTGCAAAGCGGGAAAGGGGGTAAGAGGGACAGAGATATCTTCATCCTTTTTCTTCGCTCGCTACAACCCTAGCAGCGAACAAAATTCTTCATTCTTCTTATTCTGCTTCAATACTATGTGGTCTTCTTTCTTCAGTTCCTACCTTGATTGAATGCAGCGAACGAAAATTTATATTTTGGAATATCTCTCACAAGTAAGAATCGTGTAGAAGGTAATATGTTATAAGAAGGTAATCTTTCTTTCTTTCTTCTCTTTTTTGAGATAAATTATTTGTTTGGGGTCGATGGAAGCTGTAAGCCAAGTTGGCAAAGAGAGTTAACGATCAACTGAAGTCTTTCTTTCAGATGCTCTCATCGTCTACTATTCTCTTTTCTATTCTTATTTTTGCTATCAGTTCAGAGCACTTTACGTCCTGGATAATTGCATTCATTTCAAACGTTTGTTGTGTTAGCAATTACGTTTAATTTTGTGTTGGATCTTGTGCCTCTATCATAATTTGGTTGAACTTGGATGGATAAAAAATGTGCTTATTATTACTGACATTATCTGTATCAACTTTGCCATTCATGTCATTCCTTCTTGATGAAATGCTCATATTCAAGCAATCTTATTTCAGCAAGAAAACGTTTGAGCAATTCTAGGTTGGTTTTTCTCTTTTCCAAGGGGATCAATCTAATATGCATTAATGAATTGTGCTCTATCCGTTTTTCATAACTGACTATGTCAGCCGTTTCTGAAATCGTGAAGCTGGAAACATTTGGGGACATTTTGTTTCTTTTTGTTCTGATTGTGTAAGCATTGTTCATGATGTCTGTTTGCAGAACTTTTTCCTAGGTCATAAAAAAAGGAGGAAATGCTTATATTATTTGTTGAATTTATGCATGCTAAATCGATAATTATGACAGGGCAATAGTTCTGTTTAAAAATGATGATTTGCATGGCTAATGTTTTGCTTGTCTCTATTGAGTCTGTATCAACATTCAAGTGAAATTAAGGAGATGTATCTGACACAATACCATTCTATAATGCGATATGATTTCCCTTCAATTTCACTCATGAAAACACTATTTAAATAGAACCATTTTATTAATGATACCATAGCGTTATTCCTCGTGTAGGTTGTAGGTGATGCAAATGCTGTAAAGAATGCTATAGTTCTTATATCATCACGCTTGAGGGAAAGCCAACACCATGACCGCAATCATTTTCATGGACGAGCACATTTACCAAAGCAATTTTTCCCTCCTGATGATGATTAAATACGTATTTCTACATTGGGCTTGGTTTTTTGGTTTTTTGATTCATAATGGAGAGATAACAGTTTAAAACATACTATTAGAAGTTGAAATAGTTTTTTCTCTTATTATTTCTGATTACTACTTTGTAGTTGTTTTTGTAATGCTTTTTGTCTTCATTTCTCATCACTTGGGAAGACGGTAAATCTGGTTAGTGATTGGTATTTGCTAATTGAGTGATGAGTGATTGCTAATTATTTTAGTATGCTCATCGAAAGTGCATCCAGCATTGGTGTAATGAGAGAGGATATACAATTTGTGAGATTTTCTACAAGGAGTTGCTCTCACCAAATAAACCTGTCAGCAATTAATTGTTCGGTACTCTTGACTACATTATTTTGACTTTCAATATGAAATCTGATATGTTGTTTATGAAATCTGATATGTTGTTTGACCTTTTCCCTCAATTTTTCCTCTCAACGTGTAATTCTCTCTCAATCTCATCAGCATGTCATGCATAAGGTGAATCAACTGAAAAAGAAAGCCATGCACGAAAATTGCGAGCAAGGAAAAAAAGATATGCTTGAAAAATGTCATTGACACCATGAACTGTATGGTCTTGAACATAAGTCATCCCAACACATAAAGAACTCATTCGCATTTATTACCTTTTTTAACAAAAAGAAGCCATAGGTCTATCCCTCGGTTTCATTGGTGAATTGGCTTCTGTTATGCACTACTTTTCTACTGCCTAATTAAATTTTTTAGTTGAAGTTCTGCAGTGGCATTTGCTTTGAGCAATATCAATGCAAAGGAAACTATTTAATTATCATTGTTGGGTGTAGCAACATCAGTTGCTGCAAAGGCTCAAGGACAGATAAGACACAGACTACCTTCCATACCTTCTGTTTGGCCCAAGTTTTTTTAGTTGTTTTATATTTTGTAAAAAAATAATTGTGATGTACGATATATTGTTAATATGAGAAGCAATTATTATTATAACATAAGAGGAGTTGTGATGGTATTGCATTATATGCTATATTGGTTTTGTTTGCAAGGAAATGGAGGAAAGGAGAAAAACATGCTTTGTAAAGAGAACATCAGAGCAAAGTGGGACCTTTGGGAAGTAAGCCACAGATCCACATTAGTTCTAATAAGCGATGAGCAGAACATGCTTGACTGTTTAAGTTATCTTGGGAAGCAGATCTAAAAAGTAAAGTAAAGGTGAGTTTATTTTTGTTTTAATGATTGATATTTTCTGGATTATAATTATATTATCATTATTTTTTGTTTTTATTGTCTAATCCTTCCATTGTCTCACCACCGGCATTTGTAAGTTCTTGGTTATGTTCAATCATTCCCTTTATATATATTAGTGGCATATGTTGTGATTTAAATTATATCCCCTATTATCTGATTCTTACTCAAAAGTCTATGGAGATGATCGTAGGCAATTCACTTTGCTTTCATGTGCGTTATTATTACTAGATAGTGTTACTGGAAACTTCTTTTAATATAATTATGAACATTCATTCTATCTTTTCTTACTCAGATTTCTGTAGGCAAAGGGACCATTGTTCCATACCTCAATTATTCTGCAGAGAACTTACCTACTAAAAATGCTACCAACTTAAAGGAGTTATCTGGTTTGAAGTTTTCTCCTGATCTGAGCAAGCCTTGCATATTAACACCAGACGATAATGGTAGTCAAAACCTGGATATAGTTTCATCCAGGATTCTATTGTTTCTGGCACAAGCAAGGGTGTACTTTCTTAGTTTGAAACTGAAAGAGGCTCATTGCTATAAATTCATTTATTATTACTACCCATTGGTCTTAGATTATGACCAAACAAATCAATACATGATTCGGTCCAATATGTCTTACCTTGAAGAAAATGAATTATAATCTTTTTTGGTCACCTGCATAGAATCTTTTTAATACAATTCCTACCCTGGTGGAATAAAATTTGCATATTCTGTATCTTTTATGTAATATAAATTCATTTAGTGCAATGAAATTAGCTTTTCCTCAGTCAAATTTTCTTTAATTTGATTGCAAGTTGTTCAATGAAGGAATCATGAAAAGGGCGGAGATAGTAATATAAAAATGATTGTTTGGGTGAGATCTGTGTTTCTTTTATATGTTTTGTTCTTCCACTAGCGAATTATTTGGGTGGGTGAGATAGTTATCAAGCTGGATCTTTCACGACGCTCTCTTTCAAATTTCAAATTAGAACCATCTAAAGTGTTTGTCTTCTATAAAATAAGATTACAAGAAAGAGAAGGAAAGGGCGAGGAAGTATTCAATGGAGCCAACCGTAAACTCAGTTTTTTGAAGGCTATGCAAATATTCAGATTAATGATTGTTTTATATCCTAGGGACTGGTTTGTTCTTATTAATTTGGTTTGTAGAGATGTAATTTGGGACTGTGATTTATTAGCAAAACATGGTCATTTGGTGGTTTCATCTTTCACAATTATTGATCAACCTACGCCTTTCTTTCAGGAGGTGGAGAATTGATGAAGAATGTGCCCTTGGCTGTTTTCTTTCTTGCTTTTGTCTTTCTTAGTTGTATTTACCTTTAGTTGTATTTACCCATGCACGTGGTTGGCCTAAGACACTTGATATGATGAGTACATTTTGGCTATCACATCTCCGTAAATTGGAGGTTTTTACTTTATCGGTTTTTTTAAGAAATATGACATTTGCAAGTATATACTTGACTAACTGAATAATGTGATCTTAATGATGTTTGAGTGACAGAATAATGTGATCCTAATGAGCGGGTGAAACTTAAAATTCCCAAATGTTTGAAATACATGGAAGTAGAAAAAGTTAGGATGAGGGAAAATTTAAAGCAAGAAGAAGATATTAATGAATTGATTACACAACTTTGCTCCTCTACCGCCAGAATTTGAAATGGATTCGCTGGCGGCAAGTAATGTGCAAGTTTTTAGGGGGTTTTTATTTTCACTTATAACACAATAGATTGTATAATCAAGTTGTTTGTTATCAAAAGGGATACATGATCTCAACTTTTTTGTAAAAAAGAAGAAGAAGAAGTGGTGTTTAAAAATGTTAATTATTTTTTCTTGCTATATTTTTACATTTTTTTAATTAAATTTATTAAATAGAAGTCATTGAGAACTCCCCTCTATTCCCGCTAAACTGAATAGGAGGATAATTTTATATTGTTTACTTACAAACAAAAATGTGTTCTATCTTTTAAAACGTTTTGTTCAAAACCATAAAGTAATTAGAATATTGTCAACGTAAACTAAAACACTTGACATTCATTAAATCATTATTTATTAATTATACCATTTAACTAAATTATTTTAGGCGTTTTTTTATTAATTTATATTCTTCTAACATTATACTTTCCCTGTTTCAAATTATAAGATATTTTTAGATAAAATTTCACATATCAATGAATCTCATTAAATGTACTTAACAACTTTATCTTTTTAAAATAAAAATATAAACTTTAAAAAATACTCATCGTTTAATACATTGAAAAGAGAAGTGATGGAAATTAATTATAAAGAGAGAAAGGGTAATATTGAAATTGAGGCGTTTAATGAAACCTTAATTTACGCAAATTGTCTTATATTTTGGGATGGAGAAATTCTTTTAAAATATCATAACATAACATATAAAAAAACTCATATAATCAAATTCAGTCTTAACCCCTTGGGCTTTTCAGGCTAGCCTGAATATCTGAATTATTTAATATTATATTATATTTTTTTATCTTTTATCTAATTTCAATTTTTATTTTTTAAAAATTAAAGTTTTCAATTTTTATTTTATTTTATCAATAATAAAAAAAGAATTCAGATATTCGTGCTAATCGCATTTACATTCAAGCTTGGTTTGAATTTTTTTTTGGATTTATTTGGGCATTCAAAATAAGCCTATGATAAATAAAATATTTTGAACTTCCAAACCTGGCCCTAATATTTTTTTAAGTTAGCTCATCGAGTTTGATTTAAATTACTTCCTCTTTTAATTTCATGAATTAAATTATTTTTTCTCCTGATAAATTTATCTTTATATCTCTAATCTTGCTTTGGCAAGGAGCAATTACCTATTATATCTACGCACCCGCCTATACTTATACTTTTATCCCATTGGTAAGAACACGCCCCACCATTTTTTTTTTCCCAACCTAAAAATTGAGTACACAACCTCCTCATGAGAAGGGGTATACTGGGTCACAAGAGCCTCTGTTTATTTTTTTTAATTCATTTCATATATTTTCTTTCCGATGGCTAACCGATCCATTATTAAATTGGAAAAATGATAAAAAAAATTAATTAATTTAAGTTAAGTTTTAAGTGTCAGATTTTAAAAATTTACAATTCAATTTTTTAATTTTACAATTATATTGTAATAAATTGACAATTTATTTTTTAAATTTTAACATAATTAAAAAATAAAAAATTATTTTTCTCTTAAAATATAAAATATAAGTTATAAATTTATCACGATAAAATTATAAAATTTAAAAATTAAATTATAAATTTTTAAAATTTAATACTTAAAATTTAATTTAAATTAATTGATATTTTAAGTTCTCCTTATCATTCTCTCCATTCTCTCTATTAAATAACTTTAGTGTGAAATAAAGTCTCTATATCTCTCCTACCACAAAAAGGTCTCTATATCCCCTGTTCACCAAAAAATTCTCTGTTGTATGTCCCGCAGACTTGAACCGACACAGCCACGCAACCTGCAAACACATGATTGTCGTGAGGGGACAGGAGGTATCGTGGTTGAGATTTTTTTTTAAAAAAATTGAGATGAAGCGTTAAAAGTAAAGTGGAATACTTTTTTGCCAATAAAAGCAAAGTGCAATATGGTTCGGTCAGAAGAAATAGACGCAAATGGTTCTATCCAATAAAGCATAATCGATGCTGATGGTGATTGACGATGACAGCACATTATGGGTAATTTTTTCTCTGTCCTTTCCTCCAACTCTAACATCAAACGTGCCATTCATATTTTTTCGCAGTTTTGTGTTTTTGACCGCATAACTTTCGTCATATTAAAAATTGAAAAATGTTCATACAAAAATCTGCAATGCAAAAGGTAGATTTTAGGAATAATCGAATGAGATCGTAAAATATCACCACTCTCCTCCACAAGAACCAATGTCTGTTGCGAACAAGTATGATGTGACAATAAATCGTTCGTTTTCATATATTCTATCAGTCTGTGACGAGCATTATATTTTTTTTCTCCGCAGGACAGAACGGTTAAGAAATGGCAGGCGGCGACTATTGATGGGCGGATGGGCATCTCGCAGCCGAAGCCACCTTGGCACGAAAGACTATTCGCTGCGCACGCGGTTTAAAATTAAAGGCAAACCAGTTATATGCTACAAAGTAGAATAAAGTAATACTATAAACTAGTTGTAAAGCACAAAGAGTAAGCAGACTTGCAGAACGAATAAAGATTCGCGTTTATCATTTACACACGCCTTTCACGTTGTACTGTCAGGACTCGGGAACGAGGGATTTAAAGCATCCAGAAAAACATAAAGACGACGACTCACTAGTTGCCAAGAAAACAGCAGTATTACAAATCAAGAGTTAATCAAAGTGAAGGAGGGAAGGGGCAAATCCACTTATTCCAGCCTTTTGAGAAGGTGGACAACAGAAAAAATCACGTGTACGTTCGAATGATGTGACTAGTCATTTTAGCCCATTTCTGAGATTTTCTTTCACTCTGCATTTCCATTGCTGTGAGCACATGTTGTTTTGCTTGTGATTCAAGAACGAAATTGAACTGTGGAAGATTTAAAAGGAAAAAAAAGGAAAAAGGAAAAAGTCTTAACGGAGTATGTAGGAGTGCGCCCCTGTCTGGGCTAAGTGCGTGGAATAGAGTGAGCGCAGCAGTTGAATGTTTAAAGGAGTGAAAGTATGTCGTTACCGAAAGAGCTGGATCAGGTGATGAAGTCGAGAGGAGGATCAGTCCTCGGGAAGAAGACCATTTTGAAGAGTGACCATTTTCCTGGCTGCCAGAACAAACGCTTGTCTCCCCAGATCGAAGGCGCTCCTAATTATCGTCAGGTATTTAATATCATTCTCCTTGGTCTTACTTCTGCCTATTGCATGCCTGTTCATTGGCGTCAGCTGGACTCACTTGTTCTGATAGGTTTACTGCGTCTGTAGTTAAATTTAATTACTATTATCTTACCTGCTCTTGTCCTTTTGGAAACCCAAGCTTTATTTCTTTTTCTCCTTGCCGTGAAGAGTTATTTACGACCCTATTAAGAACGCAGTTTCAGCTTATGTTTACAGCATTTCTGATATGAGGGAAAACAGGTCTTCAATTTATAATTTTTAGGCGTCCGAATCACCTCACCTAGAAGAACTGTCTGTGTCGTGGAATCTACTTACTATTAGCGCCCTCGAATCTGAGATGCTTGTTCATCTTGTCTTGTTAAATAGAGTTGCATTTTCTTACCTTGTTGACATCTTTTTATTCTTTTAATGATTATTGTTGCTAGGCCGACTCCTTACATGTTCATGGTGTTGCTATCCCAACAATTGACGGAATACAAAATGTTCTCAAGAATATTGGTGCACAAATTGGAGGGAGGAGAGCGCAAGTTCTTTGGTTTAACCTTCGTGAGGAACCAGTATGTCTTTTTGCTGGTGACTTTAACAACTCAATTGGCTTGTTTCGTCTACAATTGTCATACTTATGCATTAGTTGATTTTTGGGCAATGCAGATAAATGTATTTTATTTGCTCCTTTATTTTTGAGTCTTTCTTTCCCCTGTCTTTTTCCAACGAAGGTGGGTAGTATAACATTTCTACATCATTTGCAGGGCATTCTTTATGGACTTTAGCTTTAGGTGTTAAATATGTACATATTAAAGGACGCCATTTTTTAAAAATGACTTCATTATGAGCAAATAACCGGTTTTTAATAAAATAGATTCTTCAAAAAAAAAAAAAAAAAACTCCTGGCATGTTTTCTAAAAATTCACTCCCTTCTACTTTTCTTGCAATCAGGTTGTGTACATTAATGGACGTCCCTTTGTTCTACGTGATGTGGAGAGACCATTCTCGAACCTTGAGTACACGGTATGTTGTTTTAAAAATCTTAAATTCTTAATGCTTTAACTGGGCATGTTGGTTTTGCTTAATGGTCCATGTTTATGTGGAATGTCTAGATTTTATGTTGGCTATCTTCCTAATGTAACTTTTTAACACTTGGGATTACCTTGTTTGGGTTGTGTGCAGCTCACTAAAGGTGCAGCTGAAATGTTAAGGCATTTTAACTTGTTCTGGCATTTTCTTACTGAATTAGGGTATCGATAGGGAAAGGGCTGAGCAAATGGAAGATCGTTTGAAAGAAGACATCCTGTTGGAAGCTGCAAGGTGTGTGGTTCTCCTGTCTGTCACATGCAATTCATCTTAATTATTAGCAAATCCTCAATGCTTGATACCCAAACTTAACAGCACCTTGACATGATAGATATGGAAATAAGATCCTTGTGACTGATGAACTGCCAGATGGTCATATGGTAGACCAATGGGAATCAGTGACATGTAATTCTGTGAAGACATCGCTTGAGGTATGGGTGGAGCTGGTTGACTATGGATGCTTGAGCCTACTCTGTCAGTTTGTCTTAATTGAGTTTATCAATTTTTTTTTGCTGTA